TGCAGCTGATTTTTGTTTTCCAAAAGTGCCGTTGCTAACATTGTCTGACGAGCCTCACTCTACTCCTGCCCAGATTATAAGCCAGCTTCTTTTTTTCTGGAAGTTTTTTTTGTAATTTTTCAGGACGGCTGGACAGCCTTACTTGATGCAGCCTACCTGGGGCATGACGAAGTCGTGAAAATATTGCTGGAGGCCGGGGCAGCCGTTGACAATCCTGACATAGTATGTTACTTTTTTGGCGCATCGATTCGAAACAAACATTCATTTCCGTGCAGCTGATCTTTCTAAATTTTTTTAAGAAGCATTCCCTGAAAGGAAATCAGATTTGTTCAGAAGCGGGGGAAGGCATGGGGGGCTATCGAAAACTTATAAGCGCGTGATTTCCGATATAAGCTTTATTTGATGAACAGCTAAGTTTAAATGAGTTACGGGAGGTTTTCGAGACTAAAGTGTGCTGTATTACAGGTAGGCTGGAGTCCGCTAATGTGGGCTGTTTACAAGAATCATCGTAACTGTGTAGAGCTTCTAATCCAGTATAAGGCTCATGTGAATATGATTGACGAAGAAGATGGCTTAACTCCATTGATCATCGCCGCTGGCCGCGGCTATACCGCACTCGTTGAACTGCTTATCAGTTCTGGAGCGGAGGTGAGCTTTACTACTTCATCTCTTGTCTCTGCATCTTGTTTCCAGTATGAGTTACGAAATATTTGCTTGCCTTCTAACAGTATTTGTTCTCGTTAGCACTATGGTTGATGCATCATCGAGCAAGTAATGCGTAGGAGCTCCGTTAGTCCGAAATTTCCGAGGTTCCGGTCAACACAAGCAAATGCGCTTTGGCTTGGCTGCAGTTGGGCCAAAACTAAATAAACAGCGGCGCACCAGGGCAGCCGGTGCGATCATGCGTTTTGTGCAATTTCGTTCACCGAAAAATTGCCTATTAATGGTTTTCACTGCCTCGTCGAAACTTTCACGGGGCCGTAAGTGATACTCCGACGCGCGGGCAGCTGAATTTAAAATTACAGGGTTGTATGTGGACAGAAGACATTACTATAAAATTTACTTTCTGGCTTTTATAGTTCCCGAGATAATAATTTCCCCGCCAAAAATTTTGCGGGCCCGTATATTTTACCTGCGGGCACGGAAAGGCTGAATTTAAATTTTTTAGGTTACGCGTGGG